CCGAGCCTGCACCCTGCCCACCCTGCCCTGCCTTCCAGCCACTGGCCTGGCTACACCTGGCTGCTAGATTAAGGGGCCCTCTGGTATCAGAACGTGACCAGGCAGGGTGCGGCCACCGGCAGCGCATCTCTGCTTGGCATCCTGTTCAGTCTGCTGGGCCTCTCTCAACCTCCGCTCCCTGCCAATCACCGCCAGGTGGGTGTGACCGGCCTGCAATCAACTCCACTTCAGGACCCCAGTCCCTGGTGGGCCTGGGGCTGTGCCTTCCTAGGGGCACGGCGGAGGCCCGGCCACAGCGCCTGCCTGGCGAAAGGAGAGGCTGCGGTACTCACCGGAAGGTCCCTTTCAGCACCTGTCCAGCTGCCACCTCCCTGGACTGGTTGTTGTAGCCATAGAATATTTCCCCAAACAGAGTCTGATTCATGGGCAGCTCCCGGCTCTCCCCGCAGTCCCCTCCCTTTGGGCACGACTCGGAGACCAGCTGGCACGACCGCCCGTCCATGCCGAGTTTGTAATCCTCAATGCACCTGCCGTGGGGGGCGGAGGGGAGGGAGAAAATCGGCTCGAGCAATTACAGCAGGGGACGGAGCCGGTTGGGAGAGGTGGGACCTCAACGCAAGGAAATGCCTCCCCTAGGGCCCCCGGAACAACCACAAGGAAGCATCTGCGCTACTGAGTGATAACCATTGCCCGACGACTCCCAGAATGTCACCTTGTCTGCAAGGCACGAACAGGGGAGACTGGGCCAGGTTTAAATGGCTCAGGGGACAGCTCTCCCACTCCCCGACCACTGGACCACGCCAGAAAGGCGGGTGCCCAAGGAGCCGCCTTGCACGGCTCGCCCTGGAACCAGCTCCAGGCACTGCACAGCTCGCCCCTGTCCTGCCTCGGGTGCTCCCCAGGCCCCAGCCCAACGGCCCCCGGACGAGGACGCAACGGGCCGGTCGCTCACCCGCAGAACATGAGGATGTTGTACAGAGAGGGATCGTCCGGCAGAGGCGCCATCTGCTGGAGACACAGCTGCTCGCAGCCGCCGTTGAACCCGTCCGAACAGTCCACGCCCACGTGGCGGTCGTAGCAGCCGGTGCCATCCTTCATGGGGCTGAGGCCAGCCGGGCACTGGCAAGGCAGAGCGACCCAGGTTAGCCAGGCTCCGGACACAGGCGCCCACACAAGCCTTCGCTCAGCCACCAGCACCTTGCGAGGGAACGGCCTGTGGAATCTAAGCTGGACGTTCGCCCCGCCGCTGGAGTCTTTCAAGAAGGCAGCAGGGAACGTACAGCACCGAGCCTGGCTCAGCGCCCACCGGCGCATCCCTCGGGGCCCCGTCTCACCAAGCGACCAGGCTGGACGCCGCACACGTGGTCTGGGGCGGCAGGCCAGGACGGAGCCGCGTTGGCAGAGCTGGGCCGAGCCTCAGCGTTAGACTGGCA